TGGTTCTCAATCTTTCCAGACTACTGCACCCCTTTCAGGAGTCTGTGTTATCTTGTATATCCCCAAGTTATACCTCTCAAAAACGACTTGCTTGCAAAATCAGACATAAAAAATACAGAAGTGTCACAGCACACTAGTACTGAAAAATTGCTGACTTTCTCATTTTTACCATATAATTATAAAATAAATCAAATGGGATATAAATATTATACTTACATTTCACTGTATAGTATATAGAGCAGTATAAACAAGTCATTGTATGAAATTTTAGTTTGCACTGATTTCGCTAGTGCTTTTTACATAGCCTGTTGTAAAATCAGGCAAATATATAGAGGAGTTGATATACCCCCTGGAATACCTCTGTGTAGCCCCTGCGATACATGTACCCCAGGTTGAGAACGACTACTCTACACATCTGCAAGTGCCTTTGGAACTGCATTCTTTGGAAAGCAGCCAATATGACCTTTGGCCACCAATCAGAGCGACTCAGTGATATGATAGGTCCAGTGCACCACGTACAGGATTGAGAGCAAGGAACTCCTATATTCTAATCCCCACCTCTGACATTGTGTCTCTTATACACTACTTGTTAAAGTGAACAACCTCTCAGCCTCAGCTTTCAGAATGGTAGCCATGTTAGTCTGTACAGTATCAGCAAAAAGAACGAGGAGTACTTGTGGCACCTCAGTTTTCCCATCTGCAAAATGAGGTTAATATTTAGCTACCAACTTCAGTTACATGGAAGTGATTAGTTAGTGTTTGCAAAGTGCTCTCTAATAACATTCAAGAATCTGCCAGAATGTGCAGTAGACCTTTGCCAAACTGAAGTACAAAAGCACAGAGAGTATTTCTAAAAATGGACCTTGCAAAACGTTTTTCAGATGTGGCAGCTATAAACGGATTCCCAACACAAGCAGCTTGCCCACTCTCACCCACATACTGTTAACCCAAGTATCCTCATGCTAACCTAAGTTATGAAATGTTGTCTGGGATAACTTGGAGAGGCTATATTATCTGTTAGATATAACACCCGGCGAAAAAGGCAAACAGTAAATGTACGGATTTGTCTACTGCCTCTTTCAATGAGATTTTAATAAAAGTTGAAAACCTACATTTTACTCTTTTGCTTTCGTCAGAACTGATATCTTTCTATTTCTTAGTGGTATTTCATTTTGATTTCATTATTTGACAGGTAAAAAGACTAGTTTGTAATGTAACTGTTGGCTTTTCACCAAAATGATAATGGGAGAATTAAGAGGAGGTTTTAAAAAGGGAAATCTAGAAAATACTGAAGTTGGCACATCACTTGGTGGACAGAGTACTACTTATGAAATAGAGTGACTTTCAGTGGTGTAACGTTTGGTGACTTTCTTCTACTGCTTTTAACGGCTTTACCTTACAGTGTGTATACTTTATGCAGTATAGTTTCTGCAGAGAAAAGTGTGTGTGTGAAAGAATACCCATACCAAAAGCAATATTACAAATACCTTCTCATTAGTTTATCATGTTTGTACATGTACAGGAAGGACCTGAGAGTAATATTGGTAACTAACAGGTAATTTTCAGCACAACGATTTAGCCACATGTTGATAGGACTCATGATGTGGGTAAATCCCTGTTCTGATATCTTTCCCTTAAAGACTCTTGTTAGTTATAACTAACTGTATAGGGAGGTTCTAACTTCTGCATAACATAACTCTAATAATTTAAATGACAAAACTGGTTTTTGCCCTTTTATAGGCCAAGTTTTAGGGTCCTTATACAGGTAAACTATCTGAGTTCACTGGGAATTTTGCCTGAGAAAAGACCAGGTTGAAAACTGGTACAACCTCATGATTTGTCTAAGTCCTGCAGATCACAATAAGAGATACAAGCTGCCAAAATGAGTAAGATACTTGTCTCCTTCCTCTAAAAGAAACAATTCATTTGGAAAGTGTATGATAAATCTAGCACTGCTAATGGAAGTTATGCTCTTGGACCATGGTCTACAAAAACCAAAGCAACATCCCCTGGGCAGCTTTTGTCTAGACATATGTAAGGTTATGGTCTGAACTAGGCATACAAGCCAAGATTTTTTTTTTTAATGAATATTTTTGGGTACTCAACTTGAGATAGCTGAATAGACTGACTTTCAGAAAGTGCTGAGCACCCACTAGATGAAAAATCAGGCCTTTTAAATGTGTCACAAGTCAAGTATGCAAATGCTGAGGCAAATAAAATCATCAGTCTCTTCTGAAAACCTGGGCCACAGAGTTATAGCCATGCAACCAAAACTAAATGTGGTAAGTGGTTAAGGCACTACTTATTGGTTTGAAAATACTGTGCCAACTCCAAATGCATTAAGGTAAATTTACTTTTTCAATTGTATGTTTATGGTTAAAACAAAATAGCTACCAAATTCTAACACTTGTATATATACAATTCAAAAAAGTGAATGATATTTGGAACCAAAAAAGTTGCCAGATAATCAATTAACTATTTAAAAAAATACATGTATAACAAACATTTTATTGTCTTATTTTAATTACAGAAATCAAAGAAAAGTACGCTTCTAAAAATAAAGACATCAATTTGATTCCACACATGACTCTCACCAGTAGTCAGAAGCTAATGAATTCAATCTCTAGGGATCTTTACGTTTTATGAACGTTTTGAGAATACTGTCACTTTCCCACTGTTTGTAGATTACATGTATAATTAAGTATGTAACTCGAAACTGCCCATATAAAAGTAACCAGGAGTTTCTTGTGATCATATCTGGATTCTGAAGCTATCTGGAACTACAAACAAACAAACAAACAAACCACTTTCTGTCTTGCCAAGTTAGAGCTGGTATGGATAACTGAATGTGTCCTGCCATGACTCTTCTTAGATCCCTTAGTCTTCCATCATTTCAATTCACTTAAGTTTAAACATTTTACTTACAAAACAGAAAAGGTGTAATAAATATGATGAAGAATATATGGCAACAGCATATGCTTTCTTAGTGTCTTTTAGTGCTTTGATCTGATGCATGGAAAACTACATTTTTCATTCATGTTTAGTCCTATGTACAGACTGCTCATAGAACACTTGTTTTTACACAGATCCTGTTTGTACACACTTTAGAATTCTATTTCTGGTAAAAGTAGAAATATTCCTCTATTGTAAGTAATATCTTGGGGTAAAATGCCATGGATGTCAGAGAAGCCAAATACAAAAATCAATGGAGGCTATATACCACATCTTTCTTGCTCTGTTAAATGCCCTGCAGCTAATCTAACTCTACAATTAGAGGATTTGTACACAAGCTCTTTAAACTGTTTAAACTCAGACAGTTGTCAGTTTACTGTACTTTAAGCTTTCAAAGACTTATGATGGTACAAACTCACTTTAATATAAACCTATGATCTATCATTCTTATATCATACATGTTATTTAAGGTGCAAGTATTAAAACAAGTTACACAATGGGATAAAATATTGTTAGGCCCCATTCTCTAAAATGGGCGTAAATAGTGCTAGGACTACCCTCCTTCCTGGTTTAGTAAGTGAGGTGTGAAAGGTCATTGTAGCAATAATCCATAAAGGAAAGAAATACAACCCTAGTACTACCAATCTGAGTAGAAATATTGTACAAGAAACCTGTATTCTGGAATAACTCCCCATGCTGCAATAAATATGCTGGTCAATTTCCCTGTGTAGCCAAGGCCTTACACACTTTAAAATATTTTATCCTGTTCTGGGGAATTATCTAGCACAGTGCAAGTGCCACTGCAAACTAATCTAGTGGTGGCACTTGTCCATGCAGGAAACCAAGATATTAAACTGGTCTAGCGGTGATGCTCTGCACTGGAGACCCTGGGAATACTGCAAAGACAGAATGCTCAGTTATGGAGAAGGAGACTCAGTCTCCTTCGGGCTGAATAAAGAGCAGGGCTGACTCTTCAACAGTCATAGCTTTGCAATCATGACTTGTAAAGATCACAGTTATGATGCAGCATCTTGTGAGTGTCAAGTTTATAAAAAAAAATTCTTCAAAAAAAAGGAAGGATTGTGGAAATCTACAAGGTTCTGATAGAAATTTAAGTTGTCCAGGAAGAACTAAGTTAGGAAAGCAACAATGAAACTAAATAGATGCTTAAAGGAAAATGACATCTTTGGCTGTGTTGCGAGGTCCAGCTATTGAGGACAGTTACAAAGACATTTAATCAATTATGGTAATAATGCCTGAATTTATTAGATAAAACAGGGCATGTTATGACAATACATATCTTAAAATTTTGCTGTATTTCTGAAATTAATCTGAAAATGCTTTGCCCTTCTACAGTATCTTCCTGACAAGATTCTCAAAGCTCACTGAGTCCTATTTTCCAACTTGGGAAACTAAGGTCAAGTCTACACCAGAAAGGCTTTGCTGATACAGCTCCACCTGTACAAAGTAATACGTGTTTATAGTTTCATGGAGCTTTATTAGGACACTGCAAGTATACTGTGACCAGATAGGGAGTATGAAAAATTGGGACACTTTTTCGGGGGGGGGAAGGTGAGGAGAGGGAGATAATTGCATATAAGAGGGCTTGTTTACATTATCGCTTAAGTCTATGTAACATGTCACACAGGGGTATGAAAAAGACCACGCTCCTGAGCAACGTAAGTTACATCGACTTAAAGCGCTGTCCTCATCACGCAATGTCGGCGGGAGATGCTCTCTCGTAAACTTAGTGCGTCTTCACCAGCTGTACTGCGGTAGTGAAGACAAGCCCTAAAGACAAAGCCCCTAATATTGTGACATCTGGTCACCCTGTGTGAGTAACAACTCCAGCACACACAGGCAGCACCGAACAGCCTGCTACACCCCAGGTTCTATCAACAATATAACATACAAGACAACAATTTAACACTAAGATAAAGATATAGTCCTAGTGGAGGTGCTGTCTACTACACTAAGCTTTACAATAGCAAAGCCCTCTGGAGGGGCAGCTTATACAGGCATAAGGAGATCTTTTGTTGGAATAGGCAAACTGTCCCCTTGAATGACATAAGCTATATCATCAAAAGGACTCTTTTGCCAGCATAGCTGTGTCTACATGGGGGTGTGGCGGTGTTTGCTGGCATAGACTGACATAGCTATGCCTACAACTTTGCAATGTAGATCTGGCCTAAGGCAAAGAGGCAGGGTAACTTGCCCTAGGTCACACAGGATGTTTGTGGTAGGGTTGGACTACTGATATTCTGACTCCTTCCTGTGCTGTGACCAAAGGAGCATCTTATCTCCTCCTCAATACACAGACTATTTTTTGCCTGTTAACACCATGGTAATGCTCAAAGCCCCTGATCAGCATCGAGCTTCCCTTGTGGTAGGTGCTCAGGGAGACACAGGCCATGTCTACATTAGGAAAAAAAGGTGTATTTTTACAACATGATAGCGAACATGTTGTAAAACTCTAGTGTAGACAGGGCAAGTTGTAATTTTTCCTAATTTATCTGGTTGAGAGGAACCCTAGGTTCATCTTAACTAGCTAAATCAAGGTAAAATACACCTTGCCCTGTTCACACTACAATTTTGTAATACCTTAGATATCTCATTGTACAACCCTCCCCCGCAAAAAAAACCCCAAACCCCACAAACACACTTTTCTACATACTTATAGCCCTCATCCTGAAGAGAGTGAAATGAGACAAAGTAAGGGATATGACAAGACAGAGAAGGGTTAGAGGTAATGAAAATATAACCCCATGTAGGTTAGCTATTGCACAATTTAAGGCTTCAAAATCACTGAAAGTATGTGTGTGTGTGTGTGTTGGGATTTTAAAAATAAATAAAATCAGGTATTTCCAACTACTGATCCACTCATCCTTTACTCATTGGCTGATTTATTGTGGGTGTCACAGTAGGAGTGGATCTGTCTGAGGAGAAGATAACAGCTTTATGGCTTAATTCAGAGAATGCTCCATGCACGTGAAGCAGCGTGGAAAGAACTATGACAACTTTTATGGCAGAAGCAGAAAAATGGGCATTTAATGGTGAAATAACTGGCTGGTGAGGAAGGGAGGGGGTCATAACATAAGGTAAGCACTTGGAGCTGATGCAGAGTATTATTAATGAGTTTCCATAGTTCAGAGCTACTGTACAAATAAATAAAAATCTGTGTGTGTCCCTCTCATTACAATTCTAACAACGTTTTAATTTGTGTTGCAGAGTCTTTGAAAATTTGTACACTGCAATATTTTTAAACCAATTAGTAAATGTATAATTTTAAACTGGACAAGGATTTATCCATGAAGCATTAATTTAATAAATTGTTTTTATGGGAACAAAAAGGGTGGAATGATGCATCAGTGTGAGGGCTGTTACTGGGTTATGATTAAAGCTAATGAAAATAAAGGTAACAGTGATGATTCATCAACGAAGCTTTCTCCAGCCACAGTTTGTAAAGATCTAGGATTAGAGGCCACTCAAGACAATCTACTGCACTAAGTAAAACTTCATTGTGCCACCTCTGTCCTCATAGACTTAGGGCTTGTCTATATTTCTGGCTTAATCGTCACTTTTATGATTGATGCAGCAATGTCGATTTAACGGGTCTGGTGAAGACAAGCTAAGTCGATGGCAGAGCGCTCTCCCATCGATGTTTGTACTTCAACTCCCTGAGAGGCGGAAAGTAAACTGGCAGGAGAGCGTCTCCCATTGACATACAGTGGTGTCCACACCGCTGTAAGTCGACCTAAATTACATCAACTTCAGTTACGTAAATTACATAAGTGAAGAAGCGTAATTGAGGTCAATTTATAGCTTTAGTGTAGACCAGCCCTAGGGTGGCAGATTTGGCACTGCCACTTTTCTGTCATGATGGAGGGGCAGCTGGGCTAAATTTCAATGAATAGTGTTGTGAACCAGCACACTGGGACAATTTACCAAGGGTTGTGCTGGATTACTCTGAGGAAAATTATTAAAAAAAAACCAAGATTGATTTTGTCTAGAAGACATGCTCTAGTTCAAACAGAAATTAAGTCCTATGGCCTGTATTAAGTAGGAGTTCAGATTAGATTATCATTATGGCCCATTCTAGTTTTAGAACCTGTGAAGATAAACCATGGTAATTAAGAGTAACTGAATGATAAGAGTAGCATTATAAAATGATTTGTTAATCCGAATGAAAGAGGCTGAACTTCTAATGTACTACTCTGGGTAAGCTGACAGGTTGGAACACATTTGGTCTGGTTCTGGGTGGAAGGTCCGATAATCAGAGCTAGTTGGGAAATTATTCCCCCCTCCCAAATATTTTTGATGAAAATGAAGTTTGTTTAATTTTAATCCAAATATTTAGACTCTTTGTTTTTGATGAAAACCTGAAAAATGTTGAAAATTGATTTTTGTGTGTAAATTTTGTTTGGTTGAAAAGCCTTTTTTAGTCAAATATCATAAGATAAGATAGTCTATTTCTGTTTCTCAAAATATCCAATGTCTAAGGCTATGTCTTCTCTGTGCCATAGTGTGGACTGCAGAGTGCACCTCTTTCAAACAGGACTCTATTACCATGAATTAGCTACCTTTTAGTTTGCACCAGCGGCCACCACATGGGGGCAGTTAGAGCGCAGTTCTTTGGTGTGCTTGCTGTGCAATTCACCCCTCCATAGTCCACCCTGCAGGCCAGTGTAGAGAAGCTGTGTCTTACGATCATATTTCATGCTGTGAACAGGGACACTTGTTAATATTTGCATTTTATATATCTTATATATGTGAATATCTGCACTGTTCTGCATTCTGCAATGTTCTGGATTAAGGACACTTCATTATGTTAAGTGATATAACAGGGTATTCTGTATATCTGTCCATATCTGAGGAAGCTGTAGCTGCTGCTTTAGTCACTTCACCTATAGGTAGAAATAAACCTTTCAGTGGGATTGGCCTGATTTATATTAGGCTCTGCATAGCAGAATCCGAATTAGTTACACTTTGGGCTAAGACCTTTGAGAGATAAATTTACCATAAACTTGGAACACACTTAGCACACACAGTTTGGAAGGATCCCATATATCATAACCTGTATATTGCAGCCAAGATGACACTACATTTAAGTGGCTTCTCTGAAAAAAGATGCACAGATAATGTGAGGATTTAGCCTTTAGCGTTTTAAAGAAAAAACTTGTAATCCTTTGACAGCTTTCAAGTTAGTTTATAATTCCTAACCCCCTTAACAGAATAATAAGAACTTGATTAAATATAAAATGTCTCTTGGAAATTGGGCCACTCTTAAAAGTGACTGCTAAAGAGAAAAGACCTTGTTTTTAAAAGGAGAATTATAACCCCTTGATTTTTTCATATTGCTGAAGAATTCCTTTGGGGAATGGAGAACTAGTAGGATTATGACATTACAAGAGATGGAAACCTGAGCAAACTGAGAGGGACAGGATTTTTGTTCACACTCATTTACCTCAAATTCTGGACAAACACTTGGGAGAAAAGCTTTGGGAAGATTCAGTACCCTTTCACCGTCAGCTGTGAGCCGAGAACATTCCTAAGCCAGTTCTCTAGTCCTTAAGGATTCCACAAGAACAGTGAAATTAAGATACCATCTCATTGTTTCCTTGTCTTTTTATACCCATTTGTTGTCTCTTGTCTTATATATACACACGTATATTGTAAGCTCTTGAGGGCAGATATGGTTTTTAGTTCTGTGTACGTACAGCACCTAGCACAGTGGGGTCCTGATCCATGATTAGAGCTCCCAAGTGCTATGGCAATAAAAATAATAATACAATACAATATTTCTAATGCAGAAAAGAAGCAGAAGGAAAACTTAAATTCCCATAAACTCAATGGTAGATCTGGAAATAATACAGCCTATTAAAATCCCTAGCAGGGATTCTGTAACAGTTTAAATTTGGGATTTATGGGTTAGTGGATTAGTAACTAATTTAAACTCAAGATGCACTATGTAATGAAGCCTGAATATGGATCCAAACTTTTAACGAATTTTAGTTTGTTTGGTCAGGCCCATCGCTAGTTTCAACAGTAGTAAACATGTAATGATTTTATAAAAAAAAACCAAGAAGAACTCTAACATTGATTTCAAATGATATATAATTAAGATTTTTATATCTACATCTCTATATATCTGCTAAAGCAAAGAGTTCCTGTCCAGTTGCATATTTTATGGAGCAGGTAGAGGGAATAGAGTAACCCCACCTGAGGGAAATACTGAAACATGCTCTGCAGATAACATGAGAAAGAGAGGTTTTCCCATGACCCCACTGACTCAGTATTAAACCCCAGCCTATGGTTAAAACCTCTCCAACATGGATTTCCCAAAAAGGGCATCCTTCTACTCCAAAGGCAAGAATGCTGAGCAAGTTAAACTACTCCAGGTCCTGCGGAGCATCTGTGTGTCCAAAGAAGAGTTGCTGGTAAGCGCATAAGGTCAGATCACATCCTCTGGATGCTAACTACTTTTTCCTGACAGCTCATTTCTAAAGAAGGCCTCAGGGGCTATCCTTGTTTTAGAGCTGTGTTTGTGCATTTACTAAATTAAAATAGGCTTCACGCTTTGCCATTAGTTGCTGATGAGTTCCTTGTTCTATTATTTTTCCATTGTTAATAACAACAATGACATCTGCGTTCTGTACTGTGGACAGCCTGTGAGCAATCACAATACAGGTCCTTCCTTTCCGTGCCTGGTCAAGGGCCTGTTGCACCACCTAGGGAAAAATACAGAAGACATTATGGACTTGGTTTTAACACCTTCTCAGAACTGTTGCCCCTACACTGGCAAAATTTGGATCTGTAATTGACCAACAGCACACTCCCACCAGTGGAAGATGTAGTGTACACAGGTCACAGGCATTTTTAATCAATTTTTAGCCAAGTCTGATCTGAATAGGATGAAAGAGTGGTAAGAAGGCTGCAGTGTCTTTGTGTTACACTTCAACAATTATGGCCACAGTAGGGAATTCCAGCTTTGAATTTGCCTACTGTGCACACAGCCCTAAAGGCTGGTCTACATGAGGAAAGACAAGCCTGGACATTTCAGTAATCTAAAATATATATTTCTCTTGGGAAGAGGTTAAGTATATACACAGTCTTCCATGCATGGCACAAAAGTTTAGGCCATACTTGCACATACAAAGCCACGTTTAAAACATAGACTTGGTGTAAAACCTATATCAGCATAGCTATGTCAGTTAAGGGTGTGAAAAAAAAAAAACACCCGCTACAGCCATAGCTCTGCTGACAAAACTTCAAGTGTAGACACAGCTAGGCAGCCAGAAGAGGGCTTCTGTCAGCATAGCTAACTTTGGGAGGGGGTGTTCCTTCACCAGCAGAAAAACTCCTTCTGTCAGTGTACACTGTGCCTAGATGAGGGGACTATGCTGGCAGAAGCTTTATCGTGTGGAGATAGTCATAGTCGTCAAGCAGTTTTGTAGTGCAACGGTAGTATAACGTATTTTTGTCTTACTTTTGAGGGCAGAAAAAAACAAAACATATTAGGGACCACACTTTAACCTTGTTAAATGCGCAGGATAAAACATAGCTCCCTAACCTAAGAATACATATATTTCTCCTCCACCTTGCCACCGTCCAGACAAGTAAGCACAGATTCTCAATGGTGTTCTAACATGGTTAAATCTGTGGTATAGACGGGCCTTGGCAAAACTCATGTGGCTCTTGCTCCAAAATCAGATAGGGAGAGTGGTGTCTGTCCAAAATTGGAAGAAGATTTTAACAATTTTCTTTCCTATTTGGCCATTAAGGCACTTAGGGCCATACATTGTCACCACTGATTTCAATGAGGCTACTTGTGGAGTAAGGTGCTACTCAGTGAGAGTCAGGTTACGAACATCTGGCCTTTTCGTAGTGACCTGCTGTGGCTGTGCCAAGGTCTAGGGAGAATCCACGTTCTGGAGAATCTCACATTAATCTTTTGGATTTCCAATGTTTTTATCTCACACCACTGGAATCATAGAATCATAGAATATTAGGGTTGGAAGAGACCTCAGGAGGCCACCTAGTCCAATCCCCTGCTCAAAGCAGGACTAACACCAACTAAATCATCCCAGCCAAGGCTTTGTCAAGCCGGGCCTTAAAAACCTGTACGGATGGAGATTCCACTACCTCCCTAGGTAACCCATTCCAGTGCTTCACTACCCTCCTAGTGAAATAGTGTTTCCTAATATCCAACCCAGACGTCCCCCGCTGCAACTTGAGACCACTGCTTCTTGTTCTGTCATCTGCCACCACTGAGAACAGCCGAGCTTCATCCCCTTTGGAACTCCCCCCTTCAGGTAGTTGAAGGCTGCTATCAAATCCTCCCTCACTCTTCTCTTCTCCAGACTAAATAACCCCAGTTCCCTCAGCCTCTCCTTGTAAGTCATGTGCCCCAGCCCCCTAATCATTTTTGTTGCCATCCGCTGGACTCTCTCCAATTTGTCCACATCCTTTCTGTAGTGGGAGGACTAAAACTGGATGCAATACTCCAAGTGTGGCCTCACTAGTGTCAAATAGAGGGGAATAATCACTTCCCTTGATCTGCTGGCAATGCTCCTACTAATACAGTCCAATATGCCGTTGCCTTCTTGGCAACAAGGGCACACTGCTGACTCACATCCAGCTTATCGTCCACTGTAATCCCCAGGGCCTTTTCTGCAGAACTGCTGCTTAGCCAGTTGGTCCCCAGCCTGTAGCAGTGCATGGGATTCTTCCATCCTAAGTGCACTTGTCCTTGTTGAACCACATCAGATTTCTTTTGGCCCAATCCTCCAATTTGTCTAGATCACTCTGGACCCTATCCCTACCCTTTAGCGTATCTATCTCTCCCTCCATCTTAGAGTCATCTATGGACTTGCTGAGGGTGCAATTAATCCCATCATCCAGATCATTAATAAAGATATTGAACAAAACCGGCCCCACGACCGACCCCTGGGGCACTTCACTTGATACCGGCTGCCAACTAGACATCGAGCCGTTGATCACTACCTGTTGAGCCTGACAATCTAGCCACCTTTCTATCCACCTCATAGTCCATTCATCCAATCCATACTTTTTTAACTTGCTGACAAGAATACTGTGGGAGACCGTATCAAAAGCTTTGCTAAAGTCAAGATATATCATGTCCATATCCATTTCCCCATATCCTCAAAGCCAGTTGTCTCATCAATCACTACTTTTAAGTTCATTTTGAGAACTATTGTACCCATCTCAGTTCAAATAAGTGAAATAATGCAAGTTCAACTGGTTACCGATTCAGAATGTACAGTCTTATTTGTACAGTTGTTCTTCTATAACACTTATTAAATATATGTGATATCAACAGGCAGCAGGCATGTCCAGCTAAATTACAGAAGAGCATGACGTGCTACTGTGACCTTAAGCAGTGCAATGCTGTATTAAGTGGTAGTGAGCAGGCTTCAGCAAGGTCTACAGTAGTCTTAAAACATTCCTGAGCAAGTAATCTCATTAGTTCATAAAATAATCTTAGGCACTGCACTGCCTGTACAAACACAGCTGTAATTCTCTTCCTTCAAGGAAGATACTAGAGAGGGGTGTCGGGGGAAGAGTGGAGATGAATGTGAAATGATCTGAATTAGCAAGCTGGAGAGCACTGCATGACTGCAGCAGCCAGGTTAGAAGTTAGCCAAAGGTGGGAGCACAAAATAGCAATAAAGCAGAGTCTGATAGTGGGGAAAAAAATGTAGAGTAGCTAAACTCAAGTGTTCAAAAACCAGAAGACAAATGAACCTGTTTGTGAGAGGGTGGAGATGGATGGCAGGAGAGAGATCACTTGATCATTACCTGTTAGGTTCACTCCCTCTAGGGCACCTGGCATTGGCCACTGTCGGTAGACAGGATACTGGGCTAGATGGACCTTTGGTCTGACCCAGTACGGCCATTTTTATGTTCTTATGTTCTAACCCCCCACCACATTAGGAGATTATTTCCAAACTAAAACGCACACAGAACTTGCTTCTAGTGCTTGCATCCCCTTCACGTGCAGTTCAGCACCACAGCAACTAACACTGTGTTATGAAAAGAAAAGGAAAATACCCCAGAGGGGATGATGGATGCTGTGATCCCTACTTAGCCATCAGAAAGCTGCCCGAGTCTGATACTGCATGACCCACCCCACTCCAAGCTTCAAACTAAATGCTACATGAAAATAAGTGGGATGTTTGTCCTTTTCTTAGTACTATTGTTGGTTTCCATACTATTGCCTCCAGTCTATGGATAAACATTCTTGTACACTATTATTAAACATAGGCAAGTTACCTTTTCACTCTCATTATCAAGAGCAGAAGTGGCCTCATCTAACAACAAAATTTTTGGTTGCCGAAGAAGAGCCCTTGCAATAGCTATTCGTTGTTTCTGGCCACCCGAGAGCTGTGTTCCTTTATCTCCAACCCGTGTGTTGTATTTCTGTTATAAACACATACAGTTGATGAAGCAAGAGGTTAATTGTTTACATTACATTGCAACTGTAGGTGGAATTAAAAATAAATCTACAGGTTTCCTTTCACCCACCGCCCCTCCTCTAAATTTTGTGTAAGAAAGAGTAGAAAATCTATTCTGGAGTATTACTGGATTTCCCATTGTGGCTCAGACCATGGTGTGAGGTTGGGAGCAATGCAGAGACATACCCTCCCTTGCTCCTGATCTTGTGCACTTACTGTGCCTCAGCTATTGACCTACTGGTGATGGGGACAATCCCATGGAAAAGTACATCTCACTTAAAAAAACAAAGTAGTATTTCAACATTAAATCAAACATTCCTATTTCAATAATGTTGAAAACTACATAAGGATAATAGTGCTGTAATATCAAAATCATCAGACCTTCCAGTACCTTGATATTTGATATATTCTAAGACTTGAGTCACTTGATTACCTCAGGAAGTTCTTCTATAAAAGAATGAATATTTGCTGCTTTTGCTACTTCTTGTATCTCATCCAATGGTACATTCCGACTGTTATCCCCATAGGCAATATTCTCAGCTATGCTGCAGTCAAAAAGCACTGGCTCTTGGGAGACTATTCCTATTTGAGAGCGTAGCCACTGGATATTCAAATGTTTTGCATTGATGCCATCAAACAGCTGCCAACAACAACAAATGTCAAAATTTGGTATCTGATATTTCAATCAGACTTTATTCACAAACATTAAAATTCTGATAGTTCTTGCAATGATAATTCTCAAGGAACTATCAAGAGTTATTAGCAATGAATATCGAACCCCTCTGGAAACCCCTCCAGACAGAGCAACAGGTGAGAAGACTTCACAGCACCAGCAACCTCCTGATGTCAGCTGACTCGTTCAGTATTGAGCTCCTATATCTTGATTTTAATAAGTGTGTTGATTATGTCATTAGTTTTTACAGCGTTGGTTCTGATGAGAGCTGAGCAAAACCTGAAATTTCCATCTCATGGGAAATTCCAATATTTTGACATTTGTTTTCATCCCCAAATCAGAATGAAAAGTCAAAATATCATTTTTTTTCATTAAATGAAAAGTTCTGAAAATTTTTTATTGGAAAGTGTTACAATGTTTTGTTTTGACTTAGTTTGACATTAACCTGCATCGTCCTAATGTGCAGCAGTGCTAATGGGAGTTGTAGCTTTGTACCTCATGTCCCCTTTGGGACAGCTTCCTGGCTATATTGTATCTCTCATGATGCACCAGGTGGCTGGGTTAGAGGGGAGACCGTGGGAGTTAGCTTAAGTCCACTGGAAACAGGTTAAAGTTAAACCACAATAAGCCAATCTTAAAATGAAATAAGAGTCAATGCAGGGGGTTGCATCAGCTTAAATATATTGATTAAAAAACTAATTTATGTTAAACTGCTGCATATTTCTGGTGTAGACAAGTTTTAAGGATAAACATAGCACAAATTGACTGCAAAGATTGATTACTCCAACAAAATGCAAGTGGACGGGGGTTGTACAATGAATTTGAGAGCCATGTGTTTTCTACCTGTGTATTTCCAAAAGGGTGGAGTCACAAAGTTTGGGGATCTTGCAGGTGTATCAGGCCTGGATCAGCTGATTTGTACTGTCCATCTCTTAAGTGGAGTAGCACTACAAGAAACATTGTTTTCTGATGCCAGTTCCTTAGCAACTCAAAGAGGACTCTTCTTGGTCAATAGTCAGTCATTCTCCATGAGATTAAATTTACAGTTTCCAAAAGTAACATTTTCTTTAGGTCAGTGATAAGACAACCGTTTTTCCAATGACTAAAAACTGTGAGATGGTTTTTTTTTTAAATTTACAGTTGATGTTTGTGGTCCTAGTTCTGGAAAAGAGATGTTATGTGGGATACTGACAGTGAAAAAGCCCAGCGGAAGAAGCAATAAACCAAAATTTCTAATCTGCTTACTCACTCCAGCTATAATCGGTACAATATGGCAGAATTTGACCTAATGACCACAAAACCTGCATGACATGCTGTGCTCAGTAGTCATTGAATCAATACAAGATCAGGCATCCCAGCTGGCCTCAGTTCACTGCAGCTTGGTCACTGGGGTTTTTAAAATAGCAGTAAAGCTTAAGTAGGAACATGTGGTTAGAAAAACGACAATAAAATCACCAGTGCAGATATTATCAAAATTTAATCTTACCACTTGCCCTGTGAGAGGGTCATAGAACCTTTGTAAAAGCTGAACTGAAGTGCTTTTCCCACATCCACTGCTGCCAACAAATGCCACTGTCTGTCCTCTTTCAATCTGAAGCGACAAGCCTTGCAGGATGGGAACATCTGGGCGAGATGAATAAGTGAAAGACACTTCACGGAACTCTAAACCTCCTCTGAATGTAGCCTGTGAGAAGAGATGGGCAATGCTTTCATGTCACACGTGTTCTAAAACTTAAACAGAAGACTTCTTTAAACATTTGCCTTAAAAACACATAAGTCAAGTTAAATATTTATTACAGACATATTCCAGAAATGTCCTGGTTGTACTCAGATGCCCTGTTCTATTATTTTCACCAAAAGATTTCTAAACTGTCCTGACAATGCTGGTGTGGGTGTGATGGTGACTAACTGTTCCGAATAACACTTATTAACTGTTCTTCAAATTTTATTCTACTATAATCAATCTTTAATTTTAGGTCTTGGACACCATGCTTACATTTCCAGGAAAAGAAGTTTCTCAGTCTTAGCATGGAAGACAATGGTAGCAGCTGATTCTGTCTCCGTATATGGTAATGTGCTATGTTCTTTCAGGACTTAGCTGGTTTTAAATTGCTTAACACAATACAGACATATGCCCACCCCCAAAGGGTTCTGTAAGACTTGTGATTTAAAACATATGGCTCATTCAGGGTCCGATTCTGTCACTGTCTGCAGAGGGTGTTCCCACTGAAGTTGTATCAAAGCATAGTGATACCCATCCATCTTCAAACACAAAAATTATTTAATCTAATGTCACCTGCTCTATGGGCACCGCCAGAACCAAAGAATGAGGAAGGGGCTCAGTGTCTGATGAACAACCCACCTTGACTAGGTCATCCTTGTTCTGATTATTGTCTTTTTAGATTGTGATCTTTGTGTGTGTCAAGGATTTAATCTTTAGTATCACAGTAGCAACCAGATGCCACCATTAGGATCGGGGGCCTGTTATACTGGACATTGTACAAACATAAGATAAAAGCCAGTCCCTGTCCCAAAAAATTTACAGCATAAGGCCCTGCTACTGCAACTTGCTCGGCACAGGCGGCCCACTCCCCATTGTGGGTGGATGCAGTGTAAGGGTCTCCCTGTGTAGAACACGTTGCAGGATCAGAGCCTAAATACGGGACAGGACAGGTGGGTGTAGACCACAACAGAGGATGATGAAGAAGAAAACAAGGGTGACAGTATTAGGAGAACAAGATTTCATATATTTGCTACAGTGTACAACTTAGCAGGGATATAATCAGTCACTAACATGCCACTTATTATTAGGTGTTAGTACATTTTGAGCACAGCTGTAATATAAACAATAGCACTGAGATGAATGGATAAAAGGCTTGTCACTCCACGATAGCCCAAAATACCCACCCTTCCAGCCTCTCTTTTTCTTTATTCTAAACAGAAGTTTCAATGAGGTGAGATAATTGCTAGCAACAAGGACATGTGGAGTACATTTAGAACTGAAGTTGCACTCACTGGTTTTTCTCCTTCTTGGCTGTAGCTATCAATGGCTGGTGTCCTTTCAAACAGAGCAAACAAGTGTGCGGCCCCTGATTTGGCTTTGGCATATTCAGGTGCAAAGGTTAACGTCTCGCCAAGTGCCATAGCACCATATGTAATTGCAGAAAACACTCTATAGGAAGGAAAACACAGTAACGGCTGGTTAGATGTCAGCTTCATTCTGCGAGGCAAAAGCAACAGAAGCGCTAGTGTCTCAAAGGTCATGACATGTAGCAGACATTTAAATAGTAAAGGAAATCAGTGCAAGACACCTCTTTCCCCTCTAACAACCAGCATAAGCAAACAACCACTGCAGGTTGTATTTTCAAGTACAAGAATGACATTGGGCTTTGCCTTGTGACCCAGGAGCCCATCATATCCCCTGCACCTCTGCATAAAACAGCAGCTGCAGTAGCTCTGTGGGGATTCAGGATGGACAGGGATAATCCATGGAGGTCCTTTAGTTCCCCCCAGATCTCTCACTAGGGAGCAACAATGTCAGTGGCACCACCGGGACTCAAGGCAGGAAGAGCAAGAGGGAAGGACCTTGCTAGGGCTCAGGAACTCTTCACCTCAAGTGCTTCTCACGCTGCTGGAGAGCAGCAGTGGCAAAACCAGAACTCTAGAGGCTTACGAGTTCTCTAACTGATTGTCCTTTTGTCATGCATGCATGTAATGCATGACAGGAGAGACTAAGACCCAGGTCTTTGAGGGAAGAGAAATTGAAATAGGAGGTTCTGCAAGCCCGGATAGCTACAGGGGATCAGGCTCTTTAGGAGCTGGGAATTCTGGTAAAAACTGGGAGTTGATAGATTCTTAATGGAAAAATCAATTAATTAATAAAATTGTACAGGAATGGCTGCACTTTCTCTATGACATTGTATCATAACTACTTAAATTTGTAAAAAAATACAGCAAAACATTGTGAGACTAACACAGCTAGGATTTGCTCTATGAGGGAGAAGTGAGTACTGGATCCTGGAGGGTGCAGGGAAAATTATGTATAAAGGGATAGTTTGGTTTGTAATTTAGTGGAATTAAATAATAATATGTATGGGATTATAGAGCAGGATTGGGTCAATATTAAAATTTAGACTATGTCCAATGGCTGGATGGGAATCTTTTCCCCTTTTTCTCAGCTAGAGATGGGATAGAGATACTTGTATGGGCCAGACCCAAGAATCTGGCCCATATTATTAAATTATCAGGTTGAGAGCACAACTAAACTGAATACTCCTGTGATTTTATTGTTGCAAATTTCTTGCCTGCCTTCCTTATTCCTCTGCCTCCACTGTTTACAGCTCTCACTTGTGTCCTCGGATAGTTAGATTGTTAAGTTAATCAGGACAGGAATCACGTGCCGTTTACCTGTGAAGTATCTAGTACAATTTTAGGTGCTATCAAATAAATAACTGCATAACATTTCAGAAATACATTAACCTTTTACATTCCCTTCTAAAATAAATACATAATAAATAAAAATTAAAGCCCCGTATCAGCAAAAATAATGTTTAATGTATCCACATGAACAGCACTGATGCTTAAACTGATTTTGTCACAGGCATTTGCAAGAAGACACTATAATCTGTATACAGCATATAGTAGACATATGCTTCAAGAATTTTTGCATATATTACATACGATCAGGTTTAAGCACTGATTTTCAGGCCAGTTATCCATACCTCATGTTTTACGTTATAAAGAGCAGAGGTTATAATCATTTAATAATAAATCTACTCTGAGTGAAAGACTAAAGAGACTAAAAATCATGTTTTAAGCAGATACATGAAGAGCTTGATCTTTTGATCTTGTAAATTGGGTTCTAGATCACAATCTTCATTTTATAATATTAATTATCAGCTAGAAGCTAAGTATCTAAGATGAACATATGCCTTCTAAAAGTCAGGCCCTATTAATGTATCTCACGTTGGGCACCAAAAACATTTTTGAAAATGTCGGGCCTAAAGCACTCTGGAAACATAAGGCCCATCAATAGTTAGTTTCAACGACAACAAAAATGGGGCATTTTAAAACATGTGGACCATTCATCTTGTATTTCTCTTGTGTTCACTCAAACCTGAGCCATTATCTTCCACAAACAGAATCTTAATTTAATAGCAAAGATTACGTGTAATCCTAACAAGACCTTTATTGTTCCTGACCTATAATTTCAAAGACCTTGTTCAGCCATCATTTCCGTGACGTGGGGCTCTTATTTTCTTATGAGTTAAAGAAGAGAACTGCACAATACATCTTATATAAAGCAGGCAAACACAGTATTCCTTCATGAGGATTATCACACTCAGTTAAGGTCAGATTACAGTTAGGCAAGAGGGTGCGCATACAATACAAAGAAAGACAATGGGGAACAGGGCAGTCTCCCAATATTTGCATGGTTTCTGACTGGGTACCAATACTTTCTCTCTTTCTAAAGAGCTTATCTGCACAGTCTGGCTCCTGTCAGCATACATGTGCTCCACACAATCTTTCATGTACGTGCTACTTCAAGTGTCAAATTGGTAAATAATAGTATGGAAGAGGACCTGCTGGATAAGCCACGTACAGTCCCTGAGGGACTAGCTTCTGTGGCTGACTGGAGGACAACAATTCCGTTTCACAGCAACTTTTTGAGGTTTCCAATTCTTTCGTTCTGCATTAGAATAAAAATAAAACCTTTTCCTGAAAGGAGGGGTATGTCACTCTATAGCTGGGGGTCTAGGTCACTGCCGTGTGAGACCCACATTTAAGTTCCTGCTCTGCCTGATTCGGAGCAGAGCTCTTCATTCCAGATCACTTTAAAATCAGACAGAGTGGAGACTTGCAGCTTGATCTCTCACAGCTTAGGTGAATGGCCTAACCAACTCGCTATTCTTTCTCCACCCTTCTCTCTGAGCCCCATAAGCCTTCCAGATGAAAGTTTTGTAGCGATAAACGCCTTTTGACAAAACACATATTGCAGTGAAAATATTCCACTGACTTCAAGTAGAGGGCAATGCTATAAAAAACGAATCGTCCCTGAATGTTTTGTAAAATAAAAATAAAAATCAGTGAAATAATTCTTCTATAAAAATAACAAAACTATAAGCTCCTCTTCTAGAGGAATTGCTAGATTTGCTTCATCATCAACCATCCTGTTGGAAGCTGGCAATGAAATGTGTCTACACAAAATGATGAAATCAGGAGTGCATCATGCCCGCTGTGCTCCCATGGGAGTCAGGTAAGGCAGTTTTAAAAGTGCAGCCTGGCTTTGTAGGTGCCCTGTCATACCGAGTCTATCAAAGCGATGTTCTGAATCAGCATATTGCTTTGATTTCACCACCTCTCCAGCAAACACCACCCTATTTTTGGGATATGCTAGCTGTCAACCCTTCTTGACCAAGAGCAGGGCTGGCTCCAGGGTTTTGGTCACCCCAAGCAGCCAAAAAAAAAAGCCGCGATCACGATCTGTGGCAGCAATTCGGTGGGAGGTCCTTCGCTCCGAGCAGGAGTGAGGGACCGTTCGCCGAATTGCCGCCGAACAGCTGGACGTGCCGCCCCTCTCCGAAGTGGCCGTCCCAAGTACCTGCTTGGTAAGCTGGTGCCTGGAGCCGGCCCTGACCATGAGGAATAGGTGCTGTGTAGTGTTGGCACACTTCACTGGGCAAATTTTAGCTGCCAAAAAACCTACACTTCCCAGCTTCCTGAGGTAATCTGATCCAATATTGTGAAAGCCCTTGCTGACAGAATATCACCCATTAGCATACTTTATTGTTGGCTTGTTCCTGCTGTTATGACTCTGGTTTCTCATTGTCTACTGCAAAACACAGCAGGCATTGCCAGGAAAATAGCCACTTTTCTAAAGCACAGTGGGTGTCAGAACGACGATCATTTTCAGCATAAAACCAACCTGCCCCTCTCCTCCAACTGTGGCAGGATGTACCATCCAGAGAGCCTTCAGTTTTCTATATGCTATTATGCCTACTGAAACCCAATAGGACAACACATGGCTAGTGCTTGGAACAGGCAGTTAATAAAAGGGGCTGTATTTTGCTTTAACTTCAATTAATGCCATATATTTTTGAAATATGAGCTCCATGACATGCCAGCTGACATGTCCATGCTCATGCTCATGCTCATCTACTCCACTGTCCTGTCTCCAACAGTGGCCAGAAGCAAAGGCTTAAGAGGAAGGTGAAAAACCAACTCATAAAGGATAATGTTCTCTAAAGTGAACCTGCTCTCTGAAGTTAAGTCCCTCTGGAGTTCCTCGCATTCTTTTCCAGTGTGTGTCATCTGCTCACTCCTTCACCACATTACTTATTAACACCAGTCCTAGCATTAAACCTCATGGCACCCCACTGGTAAAATTCTTTGCAGGTTAAAAACTGATAATTTATTCTTACTCTTAGTATTCTGTCTCTGAACCAGTTTCTAATCCAGGACACAACTTTACCTCTGGCCTTCAGGCTACTTCATTTTTTTAACCGCCTCTTGTGGGGGGCATTGTCAAAAGATTATTGAAAGCCTTTACAGAATATTCCCCCTCTTGGACCCTTCAGCATTTCTCAACTGTGTAAAGGTCTCACAGGGATAAAAGACATCTCTACCGTTAATGGGATTTTAAAACGTCATGATGCTTCTTCCTTATCACAATTCTCCTTTTCATCATAATCAGGGCCGGCTCTAGGCACCAGCAAAGCAGGTACGTGCTTGGGGCGGCACATTTTCGGGGCGGCATTACAGCCATCTTTTTTTTTTTTTTTGTCAAAAGCCTAGAGCCGGCCCTTGCAGCAGCAGCACGTCGTGCACCAGGGGGTGCTCTGGGGCCGCTGCGGTTTGCACCGCGGGGTAGCAGCGCTGCACCTTGTGGCTGGGCCGGGCAGGCTCCGAGCGGGGGACACTCGGGCGGGGGGCCACCCCGCGGGGC